GCCCAGACCCAAACAGCTCACAGACCCGTTGAGGAAGCGACACAGTGCATGCTTGGGGCCTGGGGGACCCGGGGGGCCACCTACTGCCCCTTCTGAGCACTGTCCACTCCAAGCACCCCACGAGCCCTCCAGGCACTCATTTAGGTTCCTACTCCATCATGTAAAGAAAAAAAAGAGGCCTGTCTTCAGGAAGCACGTAATATTTTCTGCAGGAAATTATCGTTCAAATCATAGGTGTCCCCTGGTGACATCTATGGTTGTTCCTTTTCTTTCTACACAAAGCGCAGCACCCGGGGACCCCCAGCTGCCCCCCCAGAAGGCTGCCCTTTTCTCCTCATATCCCCCTCCCGCCTGCCTCCCTCTCTCCTTCCTTCCTTCCTAACATCCGTTGTGCCAAGCAGGGTGCCAGGCCCTGAAGCCACAGTGGAGAATGAGATAAACTCCACCCTTTTCCTCTCTGACTTTAAAATGCCCGGTGCAGACCAATGACAGACAAGCCTGGCTGGGCCCTCATGCTCTGGGCTCAGCCACACAAGCGGCAGCGAGGTGGTTGTCCTCCCTGTCACTCCCACCACCACGCTGGGCCACTGCCACACGGAACACTCCGAATCACAGAGATTCAGAGCAGGCGAGCTGCCCAGGCGAGCTGCACAGGCGAGCTGCCCAGGGGAGCTGCCCAGGGGAGCTGCCCAGGCGAGCTGCCCAGGGGAGCTGCCCAGGTGAGCTGCCCAGGGGAGCTGCCCAGGTGAGCTGCCCAGGCGAGCTGCCCAGGCGAGCTGCCCAGGGGAGCTGCACAGGCGAGCTGCCCAGGGGAGCTGCCCAGGTGAGCTGCCCAGGTGAGCTGCCCAGATGAGCTGCCCAGATGAGCTGCCCAGGGGAGCTGCACAGGTGAGCTGCACAGGCGAGCTGCCCAGGGGAGCTGCACAGGGGAGCTGCACAGGCGAGCTGCCCAGGTGAGCTGCCCAGGGGAGCTGCCCAGGTGAGCTGCCCAGATGAGCTGCCCAGGGGAGCTGCACAGGCGAGCTGCCCAGATGAGCTGCCCAGGTGAGCTGCACAGGCGAGCTGCCCAGGGGAGCTGCACAGGGGAGCTGCACAGGCGAGCTGCCCAGGTGAGCTGCCCAGGGGAGCTGCCCAGGTGAGCTGCCCAGGGGAGCTGCCCAGAGGAGCTGCACAGGCGAGCTGCCTCGGCTCTGATCCCTGCTCACCACAGGCTCACAGTCTCAGCTGTGCCCAAAGCATGCCCTTGTCCTCAGGTTTCCTGCCAGGAAGCTCTGGGGCCGCGGGAGGCCCTCAGCCCTTGTTAACCGCTGTCAAACATTAGCCATCACTAGGCGGCTGCCAAGATCCTGCACATGAGTTATTTTCACGGGTGAACCTGGTGATGGGGCCGCGTTTGTGCAAGGAAACCAGCTCTTTCCGACGGCAGCACGGCACCGCAGACAGGCAGGCAGCTCCTTGGATCCCACTCCGCTTTGGCCAGCTTCGGGGTCACCTCCTCCATGAAGCCCTGCTGGTCCCCACACAGGTGGGCCTCACCCTGGGGCAGGCTCCCGCCACCTGGTGATCAAAGCTCCCCGGGGACTCCCACGGGTCTCCAGGTTGAGAACCACTGGATGAACAGGAGGCTAACACACGTCTCCCGCAGGCCAGACCCAGCCACCGCCTGCTGTCAAGGAGCCTCGACTAAATACACGCCCACTTGTTCCGTGGTGCCTGCAGCTGCCTGGGACCGAGGGCAGCTGAGAGCTGAGAAGAGACCATGTGGCCCCCAGAGCCTCGCATCCTTACCATCGAGACCTTTGTAGAAAAAGTTTCCAACTCCTGGATTAGGCAGGCAGTCCACCCGTGTTCCTGCCATCCGCTCGTTTAGCCTTCGCACGCTCAGTGTGATTCCTTGTGCGGGTGCCACAGGCACGGACTCCTCAAGGACAGGGACCCTGAGTCGTGTCCCCACAGGCAGCACCAGGCCTGGCCCACAGCAGCTGCTCACCCCTTGGCAGGTGTCCTTCGATGTGTCCACTGTTGAGCTCTGGGGTGTCTTACCAACAAGGTTTGGGTGACCAGGGAGAGCAGGGGCCATGCCGGGCGGGGCTGGTTCTTGCCTGAAACATCAACGCCTTTGCTCACCGGCCCACCCCCCAGGCGGAGGCTCTCAGCCGGCCCCGGGGAGGTGCCCAGCATGAGGCCGGGAGGGAGATGAGGCCCTGAGAACTGGGAGCCTAGAAGGGTTCAAGGTTAAGGCTGTGAAATGCAGGCAGCTATGGCGGGGCTGGTGTCTGCTGACTCACAGGCAGGCGGCGCCGGGAGGAGGATGGGCTCGGGGACCTGTCGAGCTGCTGGGGTGCAGCACAGCCCCCTGACTGGTGGCCCCCCAGCCGAGCACCTCTGCGGACGGGACTCAGCACCCTGCGGGGTGCACAGGCAGCACGGCTCAGAAGAGCGGAAACACCTAAACGTTCATCGATAGGTATTGAATATTATTGTCTTCACAAACAACTATCAGGAAAGAGATGAGTGAGATTTACATGTACTGATATAGGAAGAGGTTGGAAACTCATGGGTAAGTTTAAAAAAAAAATCAGGTTACAAAAAAAGGTGTGTTTAATTTGAGGCTATTAATATAAGTATTAATTCCGAGAAGCACTGCTACACGGAGGTGTAATTACAGGACTCTGCTCTCTTGATGCGGTTGGAGGTTTTGGGGTTTTTTTTTTTTTAACAAATCTGTGCTATCGGGAAAGTAGCAAAGATGTTTCAGTGAAAGATAGAAAAGGGGACGTCCTCCCTGACAGTGACCTTCCGCAGCGCCCGCCCCCGGCCTCCGTGCCGCCCCCGGCCTCCCGGCCGCAGAGGCCTGTACCCCGGAGCTGTGCCCCGAGCTCGCTCCCTGCAGCCAGGCCGGCCCTTCGTGCGGACAGTGCGGGCCTCCGTGGCCTCTGGCCCACGCCTGTCATTTTCTAGCTGGAGCACCAGCTCGTCTCCCCGCTGGACGGGACACTCTCGAGGACGGAGACCGAGAGGAGGGCGTATCTGTCCCCATCTGGTCACAGCCCCCGGGGCAGGGCCGGGAAGTGCCTGTGTGAGCGCTGGGCAGTCTCTGGGGACCAGGTCACCAACCTCCCCTCTCCGGCAGCGGTTCTCAACCTGTGGGTCGCGACCATCGGAAAACACATATAGCAAATCAGATATTTACATGACGATTCATAACAGTAGCAACATTACAGTGATGAAGTAGCAACGAAAATAATTTTATGGTTGGGGGTCACCACAACATGAGGAGCTGTATGAAAGGGTCGCGGCATTAGGAAGGTTGAGGACCACTTAATAAGGCCACTCCTGGCTTTGCTCACTTGTTACTCCACCTTCCCGGGGTCTCCTCCAGCCTCTGGGAGGGGCTGTGCAGGAACAAGAGGCGAAAGGAAAAAGCAGCAAATGGTGGGGGCGGTGAGCGGGGATTTGCTTGGAGAGGATGGAGACTCTTGGCGCAGAGCAAAGGGGTGGGTGGGAAGGTGAGAGGTGGAGGGGAGGGGAGGCACCGTGGGCACGGGAGAGAGTGTGGGGAGGCCCTGGAAGGGAGCCGTGGGGAGGGCGGTTGGGGGCAGCTGTACGGGACTGACAGGCAGGGGCGGGGAAGACAGCAGGACTGGGCCAGCGGTGGAGCGGGGTGCTCTCGGTGCTCTTAGGAGACACAGAGATTGCCACGGAGTCTTCAGGGGGCCGGGCTGCGTGTCGCTAAGGGGGCGCACATTTGGGCTGGGCCACGTGGAGCTCTGTGGTTCATGTGGGTTACGAATGGGTGAGTGCAGTGTGGGCCTATGGCCCTGCCCACTCTCGGTTCGGTCATCGTGATGGGGGGGTGAGGGTCTCGGCCTGGAGCCGCCGCCCCCCCCCACCCTGACCCTGTCAGCTGTGCGCCGGGCTTGCAGCCCCTGCCACACGGGCTCAGGCGGCCCCTCTGGAACCCCGTGACCTTGCGCTGCCAGAGGAGGAGGAGGCCATGTGTGGGAGACTCTCCCAGCTGTTGCGGGAGCAGCACTGAGGCGGGAGAAGCCGGGCTGTGTGGATGTGGACATGGCTTTAGGAAGTGCTTTCATGTAGTTAGGCAGCGACACAGTAATCAGTCCATTGCCCCAGACCAGAAAAGAGAGGGAAGTTGAAAAAGGAAGCTCAGGATTTAACCCATATCATCTCATTATCTAGGCTTCATCACCGTCAGGCTTTAGGCACACAGTCAGCTCAATAAATTTTGTTGTTAATCCTCACCTAAGGATATTTTTTCTGGTTGCTTTTTAGAGAGAGTAGAAGTGAGGAAGGGAGGGGGGAGAGAGAGAGAGAGAAACATTGACGTGAGAGAGGCACGTTGATTGGTTGCCTCCCGCATGCACCCAACTGGGGCTGCAGATTGAACCTGCAACCCAGGTACGTGCCCTTGACTGGGAATTGAACCTGCGACCCTTCGGTCCAAGGGCCAGTGCTCTAACCACTGAGCAAACGGCCAGAGCCAGCCAAATTGTTTTTGCAGATCAGTGCAGCATGTTTTACCAGGGGTCCTCAAACTTTTTAAACAGGGGGCCAGTTCACTGTCCCTCAGACCGTTGGAGGGCCGGACTATAGTTTAAAAAAAAACTATGAACAAATTCCTGTGCACACAGCGGCGGCCAAAACACCCGGCGGGCCGGATAAATGTTTTCGGGGGGCCGCATGTGGCCCGCGGGCTGTAGTTTGAGGACCCCCGTTTTAAACAAACCAGACCATGCTTATTCGATTGTCACTTGCCGTCTGCAGGTAACGGGGCACCCTTTTGCGAGCACATGGGTTAGCATCCTGGTCCCGCCTCTGACTCCTCAGCTGTCGCACCTCGTCAGTCAGGTCACCTTCGGGGCCTCCATTTCCTCCTCAGTAAAGCGGACTGGCTGCTCGCAGGGCGGTGGCAGGGCCCCCGGGCGGGTGCGAGGCTGCTGTGCTCCTCCTCACTCAGGCCTTCGCTTCCTTTTCTCCAGGTTCGAGAAGGGGCACCGGCACGACGACGAGGAGGACGACCTTCGCTTAGATTGCCGCCACGAGAGATACCCCACCCGTAAGTGGCCTCTTCCCGGGGGCTGTGCCGATTCTGGGCCGTCTCCGGAGGAAGAACCCGGGAGACGAGCCGGGCCAACCTCTCCCTGACCCTGCGTTCTCCCACCAGCACGCTCTACAGATGGGGAACCTGAGGCTGGTGTCTGAGCGGAGCAAGTCCTCTGCATGCAGCGGCCGCGGCCCTCACAGCGGGGTGGGAATGCTAAGCCAGCCAGAGGGAGACTGGAGAGCTGAAGGCAGGCGGGCACACTGCAGCTTAAGTCCCGGCCTGGGCCAGCCATCGGCCCCCAGGGAGACCAGCACTGTGGGGCACTGGCCAGGTCCGGGAGGTGAGGTGGACAGGACTTGTCTGAGCTGCGGGTGCTCCTGGCAGCCCCGTGTGCCCGCCGTGGGGGGCACCTAGACAGAATCCAGGGCACCCGTTTGGAAAGGACATGTCTGCGCCAGGAAGCAGAGGGGAGGGAAAAAGAGAGCAGGACCCGCTCCAGGCAGGAAAGGGAAGAGCCGATGTGAGATTGGAGTCAAAGGGGCAGAATCTCCGCTGAGCCTCTGATGCCCTCCATGCGCTCCCTGCCCACCTGCCCTCTGATGCCCTCCATGCGCTCCCTGCCCACCTGCCCACCTGAAGGGCTTCTCACGCCTGACCTCCGATTCTTGCTGACCCCCAGCCCCTACAGCACGCACGCTCCGCATTTCGCAGATGAGGACAGTGAGGCTCAGAGAGGTGGAGTCACTTGCCTCAGGTCACACAGCTCAGTGAGTCCGTGGCAGGGCAGTCAGAGCAGGCGCGGTCAGTGCCCGGCCCACGTGGGAGCTTTCAGGAAGCTCAGTGTCCGCCGACTGCCGGAGTCCAGGTCTCGGTGCCTGGGGCCTCCCCCACCTGCACCCACAGAGGGCGGGCAGCTCCCTCGCCCCCAGGGTGGGGTCGCCATGAGGCGTGTGCTTTGCACCTCAAGATCGCCCCTACTCTTGAATTCCTACCTCAGTCTGCTTCTGGGGAGACCCAGACTAAGTGACGATTTAAACTCAGGCCTGTCTGCCTCCAATTCCTGTGATCCTAGCAGTGGAGTGAGAATGGCTGTGCCTGGAGAGAGGCGGGGGGGGGGGGGGGGCTCTGCCGGAGAGGAGAGCGCCCCGCTTCTCTCGGAGGAAAGGGGCTCCTGCAGAAGCCACCGGCCCAGGAAGACAACCTGCCCGAGGAACAGGAGGTGGCTCCTGGGTGGACCCTGGCTCACACCCATGGTCAGTGGCAGGTGCCTGTGCAAGGGCGGAGGGCTTCCTGGGAGAAGGGGCCGCGCACCAGGGTGTGGAGGCAGCTGGGAGCACCCGCCTCAGAGATAAGCCAGCAGAGAGCCCAGGAAGCATGTGGCAGGGACAGAGGGAGAGCCTGGCACACGGCACAGTGCCCTTGGCTCCCCGCTGGGCCGAGCCTCCCAGGGCCCTGCAGGGTGGGCAGGACACCCTGTGGACAGAAGCTGGGGCTTGGAGGGGGGCAGCTGGGGAGCTGGGAAGAGGGAAGGCCAAAGGGAGCCAGTCCGGCCCTAGCAGTGGGCCCTGGAGTTAAGAATGAGGACACCCAGGGTCTGGGGACGCGGAAGCCCTGCAGCCCCAGCCCAGGCCCCACAGCCTCCCCACCTGGTGCCCGGCTCACCTCCTGACGTGAGGAAGCATCGGCTGCATTGGCTGGGTCAGCAGCCTGCCCAGATTCCATCCTGCATTCCTTCCGCAAGTGCTCCCCGTGTCTGCTCTGAGCTGGCCCCGTGCTGGTGCTGGACCGGCCGCGGGAGCCAGGCGGGCACAGACCTCGGGAGCAGGGCGGGCACAGACTGAGGGAGCAAGGGGGGCACAGACCTCGGGAGCAGGGCGGGCACAGACTGAGGGAGCAAGGGGGGCACAGACCTCGGGAGCAGGGCGGGCACAGACTGAGGGAGCAGGGCGGCACAGACCTTGGGAGCAAGGCAGGCACAGACTGAGGGAGCAGGACGGGCACAGACCTCGGGAGCAGGGCGGGTACAGACCTCGGGAGCAAGGCAGGCACAGACTGAGGGAGCAGGACGGGCACAGACCTTGGGAGCAAGGGGGGCACAGACTGAGGGAGCAGGGCGGGCACAGACTGAGGGAGCAAGGGGGGCACAGACCTCGGGAGCAGGGCGGGCACAGACCTCGGGAGCAGGGCGGCACAGACCTCGGGAGCAAGGCAGGCACAGACTGAGGGAGCAAGGGCGGGCAAGGCCCTGCCTATGGCTGGCAGTGTAGGGCGAGGAGCAAGCAGAAGTGAACCCAGAAACAAACAAGACCATCTCAGGGGCTAGAGCGCAATGTGCGATGGTGAAGAGGAAGCAGACGGCGGCTCCTTTAGAGCCTCGTCTCTGAGGAGCTGGACGGGAAGGATGAGAAGGAGTCGGTCAAATAAAGGGCCAGGCAGAGGGGCCGTAGGGGCACAGCCTGGGGCGGGAGCAGCCAGGCCTGGGAGCCAGCGTGGTGTGGCGGGAGGCGGTGGGAGTGGGCGGCGGGGCTGGAGGGAGGGGGCAGCATGGGAAGAGGGGGTGCCATGGGGACCCCAACCGTGGACCTATGTTTGCCCACGCCGGCATACTCATCAGTGTATTTATCCGTGTCCCTGTCCATATCCGTCCCTCCCTCCACCTGCAGGCGGGAAAGGAGGGAGGGGAGCTGGACACGGGGCGGCAACAGCTTAGCGGGTGTCGCTCTCATTCCCGGAGAGACGGCATGGCCGGGATGGGACGGAGATCCAAGTGGGGGGTTCTTTGCTGGAAGAATTGTGGGTGTCGTAGTTTGGGTCCCGTGGATTGGGTTGTGGTAGTTTGTTGTCGAATAAGGATTGGACAGCAAGCAGTTTACTTGGTGACCTCAGAAAACCCAAGTAGGAGCAGGCGCAGGGACGCAGCAGGGCAAGGCCGGTGGCGGTGAAAGCACATTGTCCAGCCGGCCAGCACTGTCCCCACTGGGGACTTGGGCAGCCAGCGTGTCCGGTCGTCCCCCAGATGTGACAGCACGTCCTGGGTCGTAGTCTGAGGCTGCGGGTGGACGGTGAGTCCCTGGGGGCGGTGGGAGCCTGTGCGGGACGCCAGCAGTGTGTCCCTCGGTGCCGTGGGGAGGACAGGTTTGTGGGCACCATGGCTACACCCACGTCCAGTCTGAGGGCGGGCAGGCTGGGAATGGAGATAGTGGACAGCAAGGGGCTGCTGGGACCCTTTGAGGAGAAAGGGGTGCAGGGTGGGGAGAGGCAGTGAGGCAACGAGGTCCTAACTCCCTGGGGCCCAAGGAGAAGCTGGGAAGGCAGCTGCCCCTCCCCCAAGGCTCCCAAAGAATGAAGACGAGCTGGTTTGGCTCAGTGGACAGAGCATCGGCCTGTGGACTGAAGGGTCCCAGGTTTGATTCCGGTCAAGGGCATAGGCCCGGGTTGCGAGCTCGATCCCCAGTGGGCGGGGTGCAGGAGGCAGCTGATCAGTGGTTCTCTCTCATCATCGATGTTTCTCTCTCCCTCTCCCATCCTCTCTGACATCAATCAATGTAAACATAAAAGACCATCTGCTGTCGGAGCTGAGGGAGGAGTCGGCCCGAAAGTGGCTGGAATGCCCGCGTGCGGTCACTTTAATTATCCTAAAGGGGCTGCTTCTGTGGCCACAGGAAAGTCATTTATTCATTCACTTCGTGAACAAATCTTCACTCCAGATGCTGACCACGGGGTGAGGGCAGGTGCAGGAGAGGGAGGGCCGGGGCAGGGGACTTCGTCGGGGGTGGTCCAACCTGCTGGAATGGCACAGCCATGGTGAGGACACCTGGCCTTGATGACAGTGACCAGCAAGAACAGTCAGGCCCCCCAGGTCTGATGCTGTACCTCAGCCTGTGCACCTGCTGAGGACATCACGTGCATCCACTCATTAATCCTAAACACGGCCCCATTTTACAGACAGGAACAGCGAGGCCCAGGGAAGGGATGCCGTGCCCGGAGACGGCAGGGCTGGGTTTGCATCGAGCCTGTCTGGCTCCACAGGCCATACCCGGGGCCACCGGGGTGAGCTTCCACATGTCAGTCAGCGGGTCCCCGTGCTGGGACACCCCGCCTGCCAGGGGCAGCCTATGAGGTTACAGGGTGCAGCCACGTGGACTTGGTCCTCACAGAGCTCGCGGGCTGGGAAAGCAGCCCGATCAGACCGTCCGGGGAACGGCGCCGTCTCCAGAAAGCAGCCTCTTCGCTGCTAGTTTTTTGGCCAAGAAAATACTTTGGGGACGCCTGGGCAGGTTTTGCAATATCTCTGCACCCGGCAGCTGCTCGGCTTTGGCGGTGGGCTGACTTTTGGGCACCAGGGACTGGGAGGAGGGTGCCGGGAGCCCGAGTTATTACACACGTGCTGTGTGTAGGTCTCGGCTGAGCCCTTCGCAGCAGCACGCGGCGGCAGCCTGGGAAGGGAGGACGGCTATGGTGCACGTGAACACTAAGGTGCTGAAAGGCAAAGGGACTTGGGGAGATCTTCAGGCCCCTGGGGGCACAGCTCAGCTTGCTGTAGAGTCTCCCTCACCCTGGGGGCCTGGTGCCCTGAACCCTCGACCGCAGTCCTCTCACCCGGGCCTCTCCTGAACAGACAAAACATTGCCTTCACAGGCCCTTTGCGTCTGCTGTCCTCTCTGCCTGGAATGCTCTCCCTCTAACGCCCTGCATGGCTGGCTTCGTCTCATCTTTAGTCTTGGCCAGCAGGCAGGCCACTTGCTCAGGGAAGCGCCCCAGCTGCCCACCATCACCTTGTTTTCCGTTCATCATAGTGTCTGCCCCGTGGACCTTTCACAGTGACATGCTTGAGTTTGGTTCTGTTGTCTCTCCCCACAAGGTTCCGTGAGAATAGGCACCCTGTCTTGCTTTGTTCATGTCTGCACCCCGAGAGCCGAGAACAGTGCGTGGCACACAGTAGGGACTCAGTGGCTGGCTCTGACCTCCAGTTCCCTCCCCTCTCTCCCACTCCGGCAGCCACCTTGACATGA